ACAAAGCATAAACATCTAAGTGAAAGACTCATAGCGTACCAGTGACTACATCAGGAGAGTCTTCCTGGTCCTAGCGAGCCTGAAGAGCATACAACCTATTATAGCGTTGACCGCCACCTGTACCAGATGAAGTACCTTGCTGAGTCAGGTGACCTGCTGGTGTTGTTGAAGCTGTAGACTGGGCCCTACTATTGTTACCTCTCTGACCCTGTTTAGAAGAAGGGCAATCCCTCAACCTGTGACCAGTCTGACCACACCCAAAAAAACCATCCATCCTTCCCTGCAAGACACTCGCCTGGATGGTTCTTACCATACATTGGACAAGTTGGGTAGGTTCTGGTAACTAAAACACTTCCTTGAGACTATGCCCTACCTTTTCAATCTTGTCTAACTTGTAGGATGGAACACTAGTTGATGAAGGTGCTGGGGTTGAAGATTTCTGATGAAACTGTGAGTGATTTCCACCACCGGATTTCTACTGAGAGTACTCATAATTGTCTGTTCTAGCCTTTTTGTTGTCCTTAGATTGTTCCCTAAGCTTATCTCTTTCAACCTGTGAGCATGGGTAATGCGCCTAGAGATAGCCATATCCTCTAACAACATCGCATTTCTGCACTCTGTCTTCACCATGTTAGATACCCCAAATAAGAACTTACTCATCTGCGCCCTGAATGGGCAACCATATGTGGAGCATACATGGAGAGATGGGTGAACTTGAGTCCGTACTCTTTGACTGTCATGGAACCTTGCCTCAAATTCATGTACTCCTGAGCCTTTGACTCTCTCAACTATCTTGGAAAGAACCTATTCAGAAAAGGTCTGGTAAAACACTCCCAAGTCACAAGAGCTGCATTCTCACCCCTATTTTCCTTCCATTGAGTGAACCAAAGGTAAGCTACATCCTTGAGCTAGTAGGACGCCAACTCTACCCTATCATTCTCAGTTACCTGCATCACTCCAAAGTTTAGGGGTCCAATGCTGTCACGACCCGGGAGCACCCCCTAGTCGTAACCGGCGTACTCGACCTCGAAGAGGTCTAATACAAGCCTCTTAGCATTTATTCATCGCATATACACTAAAACCATAATGAATTTAAAACTTTCTTTACCAAGAAAACATTTAATTAAAAAAAACAAGCGGAAGACTTTCTAGACTTTATACATGATGTCTCAAACCATCTAATACTTTAGAGTACAAAATTCGGGACCAATCCCATACACAACTTAAACAAT